CTTTCGTATTGATGTGTCCGATTTCAACTGACTGATTGAGCCTGATTTGTTTTGCCATGTTTTGCCGTTAGTAGCCAGTGAGGACAAGAGGTTTTGAAGGAAAGTTCTCCGGGGATGAGTTTGTTGCTCATGATGGTGACCGTCGTGCAGTTTCAAAAAGTGAGATCTACAAACTCGGAGAAGAATGGAAGTGTGATGATCGGGTGTGGGCCTACTGGACGAAGGACAACAAGTACCTCAACTCCGGCAAGGTCACTGCTGTTGGCGCTGAGACGCTCCTCTTGGATCAGTATGATTTTTTTGAAAAACTCTGCCCCTCACTACAGCTTAGAATAGATTGGGACTCTTGTTGAGAGTGTGCTCCTGATCATCCTGATCTATCTCGCATCTTCTTGTGATCGTTGGTATAGTTAGGATGCAGGGTCGAATGACAGACATGGTATTGTAGCAGGCAGTCATGCAATGGTGCACAGAGGTCTATCATTCCTTTACATGACCTTACTTTGCCCAGTCTCAGTGAGGAAGAGCTACGTTGAGTTTGATGATAAAGATAAGGGCCCAATCCCCAACGGCTGGATCCACAAGATGGTAAAACACGAGACAGACAACGGCAATGAATCAAACCTAAGCAACAACAACTCCTGATGAGTGCCGGCCTGTTGCTAATGTGAAGACGGCGTCTCTCAGAGACTTTTCTCGTCCAGCACCGTACACAGCAGCTGCATCGTGTTTTCTGCTTTACGGTCTTGTCATTTTATGACTTGTTCCCCAAAACGGGGAAGTTTCACCAAGACAGTTGAACAACTGACTGCAATTAAAGTTGTGTTTCGGAACTTTTGGATATATATAATTTCTTGATTCTTGCCCGGACAACCATCTCCAAGCCACCACAAGGGCATCTGTGTAGCCTGTATAGCAGCTAACAGTTCTTAACCTATTCATTCTTCGACTTGAGTATGGCTATTCGGCCAATGCATGCTTTTGCCTGCCGGAGAATGCGATACTGATGCGTTCTCCCTTTGAAGTCTCAGTGTTGCATCAGTATCGGGGCGCTTCTGTCACGTCTTGCTGTTTATCTGGGCACTTCAGCTTCTTCAAATAGACATGATGAGACCATGCACCGGAGAAAGCCACACGCCACACACAGACCGGGTCGGTCTGGAAAATGTCGACACATTGATTTATTCTTCTTGTTTTGTGTGGGCCACTTCCAAAGTCACCCAGAAGCAGGTGGACCAACTTGGTACATCACACTTGGATACACAATATACACCCAATCTCTCTGAAGTGTTCACGCAATGTTGAAGATAGGCCCGGCTCGGGAAACAAAGTGACAAACGACGTTGTGTTGATTGTGTTGACCAGCCAATGCGAAAGCTGTAATTCTCGAAACTAAATTGCCTTCCTTGGCGCCAAAGCATTTGACGCAAGCCGTCAAATTATCTAGGAGTTTCTGTTATGTTTTTGTCATGTGTTGTGAGATTGTGCAATCTCATGAGAAGTTGAAACACACTGACATAAGTGCATCGCTACTAGGAACAAGTGCATCGCTTCTAGTAACAAGTGCCTTACTAGTAGTAACAAGAAGCTATTAGAAACAAGTGCCTTACTACTAGGAGCAAGAAGCTATTAGAATTAAGTCGAATTAAGTCGTTTGAGTTGTCCCGTTGCAGTCTTCCTTTTGGGCTCCGTGCATGCCGCTCAAAGTGTCCTCGGCACCTTGGACAGGGAGAGTGCCAGTGTGCCAGTGCAGAACAAAAACGACCAGTTGCGGGTTGCGTTGTACAGACTTGTCATGTCAATCTTTCTTCCTGAAACTCCGGGAGCTTGAGCATCAGCGATCGGTGCTTTGTGCTTAGCATCCCAGAAAGAGGATCAATACCATTACGACACATATATAGTACCCTCCCCAAAAAAAGAAACACAACGATATTTCTACAGATTTTATTGGTCTTTGCAGTGTTAGTAGCCCCTGTGCTCAGCAAAGCATCGAACAGTCAAACAACTTATGAGCCAATGCCTGCACTCTGTGAAGAAACTTCTAGTAAGGAGTTCTGAGTTGTGCATGTTGGTTTGTCAGGCAGCAAGGCACCGAATTGGCTACGGTCTTTGCATCAAGGAACGAATGCCCTTTCATGCTAGAATATATATATATATATATATTATTGTAAAGACAGTGATGGGTGACAGCACTCAATACGTGTCCTTGCTCCATGTGAGTGAAGCAATAACATTCCTCCGAACATCTCTGAAACATGATGTAGACACCGGTTGCCTCAGAGCAACGCAAAGTGGATGTCCCCCTGCAATTTTCCAAGGAGGGAGGTGCCACCAACTACTGGAAAGCATTGCTGATGAGGACAAGGGTCTGTTCACAGTGTCTCTGATGGGCACAACAGACCTGTGCAAACAAGCACGTGTTACATTGAACAGTGCCAATGATGCCGGCAGTTGTTACAAGTCCGATCCTGCGAAGCTACAACTTGCCTGGCGAGATTCCTGACAAAGATAAGCTATACATACAGTCGCATGTACATTTACGTGTTTCATTACATTAACTAGACTATATATTGAACCAAAACATCACACATACACACATCTCTATATATATATATGTATATTGTATAGACACACACACACACATCTCAGAAGCCAAACAAGTGCACCGGTAATCGCCAGCACCTCAGGATGAAGTGTCCCTTGGCTTCACTTGATGGCAGAGCCGGGCCTTTTGAGCAAATGCCATGAAAGAATTTCTGAATCTGTTCTTCAGTAGTACATTGGTTGCCGAATTCTCTTCGTTAGCACATCAGTTTCCTCACCAAGGGCACGAAGTCCCCTCCCAAACACTGCGCCGTTCTTCGGTCCGCTCGACTTGCTCGTCGACGAACTCGTTTGAGGTCTGTGGCGGCGCTGTGCCGGAGCCATTTGGGGCCGAAGGGATGTCACGAGCTGCTTCAAAGGCTTGGAAAGGCTCCATGGAATGATGAGGCGGGGTGATGTTCTCGAATCGAGTGAGCAAACGGTTTGCTGCTGTCCATAAAGGAAGGGTCTGTTAGTCCGAAGTGACAAGAAGGGTAAGCCGGTAAGCACATGTAAGCAATTGTAAGCACTAGATTTGATTTAGAGCTGGAAGAGATGGATGTCACAATAGTAGCTTTGATGACCCGTCTGAGCCTTTTGAATTCTGTTGCTGTTCTAGTCCGATGCTTTGCCATGCTTCGCTCCGGCCATGCAATGCGACGTGTGGTTCGGGTGCGAAATCTCCTCAGGTGCGGGAAAAGGTTTGCCTGGAGAATGCAGATCTCTTTGAGCCAAGGGGCCTCCTAGACTCGCCTCTTGATGAGGCGCCTCGGCATTCTGTTTTTCACGTTGCACGGTGCTTGAAGAGTGGCCGTTTCCATGAGGTGACTGGCACCAAAGATCCACAAATTGCTTTTGCTGCCATGAATGCTGGACAACAAGCTGGGAGCCCTCCCGCATCTATAGCTCCTCCTGTCCTGACAGTGCCGCCCATCACCGTCAACCTGCCAACTGCAGCGCCGGTACCTGCCATACAGCTCCCAAACACGAAGTCAGAGATCAGCTTTTCAGGCAGGAGCCAGATCAACATGTGATATCATTTACCGTATCAAATGAATCAGCATCAAGGGCAGAGTGCCGTGTCCCAGTTTGCATCTCAATCCACCCTCAATTGGCTGCAACAAGAATCTGAGTTGCAAGACTACGCATCGCTTCTCTCTTGTTTGCTGCCAGGAATTCCAAAGAGCGAGGCTGACAAGGACCGTTTCTGTGGGCCGAAGAATGAATTCCTTTTTGGAGTTTCGCAAAAGCCCTGGAAGAGGTAGACACCCATATGGCCCATATCAATAAGACCGCTTGGAACATCTCTATTTGCTTGGAGGAACACGAGCCTCTGATGTTGAGCATGCTACCATGCTACCACAACAGCAGTTCTTGTACCATGATAAAGACCACCAAACTCCACCCCTTCATTCTCTGGCAGGTTCGGGAGAAGCTGGGGCAAATTTTGGCGCCGAAGACCACCTCGCCAACACCGCTCTCCTCGGACATGACTGAGGTGATTCGATCTCGCTTCACCAGCAAGGATGCTTTGCCAAACAGCGGAGGCGGGCGGTGGAGATGTGGCAAGTCGTTACTGTCAAGATGGGAATGACTTCTGGCCAGGACAGTCCCAAGCTGGGTCAAGGCGTCAGAACAGAGTCAAAGAGGACCGACACAAGCTGCATCATTTAAGAAACGGCTATACCGTTTTAGCTTTACATGTTATTTTTCCTGGGATGTTTTCTCAGGACAAGTGGTGGGAGTCGCCAGAAGTAGCTCAAAGAGATCCCTCTCCGGAACCAGCCCAAGCAGCTCAAACCCTTGATGAAGGCAGCTCGGCAGAGAACGCCATGGAAGACCCGACTGACTCCAAGAGCTGGAGCAGCTGGAGCGATGGCCTCCAACCTGGGAACTTGTGGAGATCTGAAGGAAATGGAACTTGGTTCGACAGCATTTTATTCCAAGTGTAACATTTGGCCCGACCTTGAGGCCGCGTCGCCCCAGCGAGCCACCGGAAGAACCAGGACCAGGACACTTCTCTCGTTCGTTCACACTTCACCGAGCCAAGAGGTGTTGTGATGGCCTCCTTTGTTAGGCCCTCATAGGCGTCTCTCCCCTTTCTTTTTGTCGGTGACCTACCGAGTTCGGTGGAGGTAGGTAGGCTGGTCGTCCTGTGTTCACGAGGCCTACTGGATGCGTGAGGCGAAGTATCACCCGACAGGGTCCACTTCTGATGCCACGTCTGGCGGTTACGACTGGGGTAACTTCATTAGCTCTGACGCCAAGCGCAATCCAAACAGAGGAGAAGGCACCGCACTGAGGGAGAACTTCTGACTGTTATTTTCGAATTGTGATACTTTGACAGACCATGACCATAACCACACCACAGAAACTGGAGTTTGTGCCGTGTCAAAGTAGCTAAGTTGTATTCAAGCTTGCGCTGTGTGTCCGAGGCAAATATGATTGGTTGCTTGGCCACTCAGAGCGAGCGATATTTGTGTATTTTTTTGAAGTCAGCTGAACAACGGCATTTATTGGCTCTAGTTGGTTGAAGCGAACCTGAATGTGCCATATTTTGTTTGTAGACGATCAGGACCTCTCAAGCACTAGATGGGACAAGCACTAGATGGGAGTAGGGGCTGTTGAACAATGAGATGAAATCGCATGGCTCATACAGGGAGCAAACCAGTTCAAACGTCTGTATATAAGTCCATTGTGTCCAGCCCTCGATGTAAACCTGCTTTTCCTAAGGGGAACCTTGCACTCTTACAACTGCAGTTTGCGTGGCAGTGCTGGATTACACCAAGGAATGGAGATGAAAGGATGTACAGCCTTCCGGACAAAGTTCTGCGACGCGGAACCGATGAAAAGCCACGCAGCTGCACCAAAGGGGCCTGATGCATCGACAGCCGGTTGTTGGGTGGGGGTTCTATAATTTCCATTCATGTTGTCGGGTATTAGTCTATAGTCAGCCAGACATCTTTTTTGGTGCTTGGATCGCTGTAAAACCCTAATATGACGATCTGTGCTGGAAAACATTGCATCTCCGTTTCCGGAATTGTCCTTTGGCTGTGGGCACCACGTTTGTTTTCGATGATATGCTTATTTAAAATTCCTGGGGTGAGCTAGCTGCCTGATGCATGAGCTGTAGCCAAAATTTGCGTCAATTAGTCTTGTCAGGGATGCTTCGTCGACATTGCCTCTCGTAGAATTTCCTCAATGCCCGATAGGTGACTGCCAACATCAAACTTGAATACCCATAGCTTTTTGGTAAACATCGAAGAATGATAAGTGACATCCTGTAGCCTATATCTTATACACAAAGAATATTGACGCTGTACATCTTGAACCAAGCTACCAAGCGTTCCAAACTCAAGACCGATGAAATTGGCCGAGTGCCACTCTCAGTTCCAAGTTCGAAAGGGCCGCCTATTCGGGCAGAACTTTAAGACAAACGACAGCCATACGGGCAGAGCAAGAGAAACACCTTCAACGCTTGAAAACACCACGGCAGAGCGTGTGTGAATTTGTATGATTTTGTGCATTGAGAGGAATCCCGCTACAAGATCCCTGAAGACCACATAGCAATGGACCGCGAGAGTGGGCAGCAGCCTAGCGTCCTACCGGGTTTTGGAACACATCCCATGACACATGTGTTTCATCGTCCATCTTTCTGATCTCCAGCCATTCCCTTCCAAGAAAACATCGAAGATAGACATCTGACCAATTGCAAGCCGGGCTCAGCCGTTGCACGGAATGGATGTGCTGAGGACATGGATAGGGCTCGTTTGGGGTTTTGGCTTGGTGGCGCTGGTGAGCTTGACCTCCTCTTTGGCGCTCCGCTGGCGGCAGGGAGCGCCACAGGGAGCGCCACAGGAGGCACCACAGGCCAGGTCATGTGGAGAAGCAGCAGAAGCTCGTCATGTTTGTCATTCCAAAGCAGGAACCGGAGATGTTATGGGACCATGCGCAGACATTTTTCTGAAAGATGCATGGTCAAGAGATGTCAAGAGTCATTGCTCACTTGTCCTCCTTTTGCAAACCAGGGTTTTTTGGGGGTTCAGGCTTTGATCATCTAGAAATGGTGGGGAGATTTTGGAACAACGCAAGTACATAATCATTTACTTCACCTGGGAAAAGTGCATGATCGGATAAATATTGTTGTTTTTGTTTTGCTTTTGGTCTAGGTAGGTCAAGACAATTTCCAAGCTTCAGACCGTGATGGGAGATGGCTTCCCATGCGGCGCCATGCGGTCATTTCTTGCAACATGCCGGCTGGAGGCCTACTCGCGGCTGGAGGCCCAGGCAAGGCTAGTCAATTCTGTGAGCCAACCAGCACCCCATGCATTTCCCACAATCCATTTGATCACCAGACAGCACTGTTGGAGCAAAGCAAAAACAGCCTAGACTGCAAGTAGGACACCCAACATGCACGATGATGAACCGGTTGCCTTGGATTAGAGTACCAGATGTACCAGGTCTACGAACGAGCGTCAAGTTAATCCGACGGAGACAGTGGTACTGGTACGCTGAGCAAGACTAAAACACACAGCTCTCCTCTCCCATGTTGCGAGAGTACAAGACCTGGTGCCAGGTTGCCGCGACAAGCTCGCGTGAGCTGCGCTTTGCCTGAATCCTGCTCAAAGGCTCCAATCATGAGCCATGGGTGGCCGTTTGCAGGGTCTGTCACTAAGATGGATGACAGTTTTCCTGCCATGGAAGTCTGTGGAAGTTGGGTACAAGAGTGTCAAAACTGTTCAAACAAATGTTCAGGAATGTTCAGACCATTGTTCTTCAGAGCGCTATGCTTCTTTTGGTATATATATATATTACAATTCTTGAGGGAAGGAATGGACAATGACCACACAAAATAACAGGTTTGTGGCTCGAAGAAGCCTCAGCGGTCTCTCAAGTATTCCGCTCCAAATTCATGCATTGTACGAATTTGCATGTTCTCAGGATTCTTGGCATCTCGAAGTTGCCAATGGCCCTTGACGCCAAATCGCAGCTAGTAACACTGGCAGCCTAAATTACTGTACATTGACATTGTGAGTCTTGTTACGACGCCTGGGACAGTTGGGAAGGGCACTTTTGATTGTGGCGCCCCCATCTCATGGAGAGGCACCGCACAGGGTAAATGGTCAGCTAATTCCGCAGCTCATTCCCTTCTTCGTTTGCAGCTTTGGCTTTGGCAATTACAGGGAAGGACTAGCTTGTTTCAGATCAGCTTGTCCCCCTGACAGGACCTTTGAGATGGAAGACCCATTCAAACAAGTTCACAGGGCATTCAGGAAATGAACAGCAATGAACAGCGTAAAAGGCACACAACTCAACAACACCCAACGATTTGAGACAGACTGGGGAACAACAGTATCAATTTCCCCATCCTAGTGCAGCCGGCGCAGTTGTTTGGCCGTCAACTCAGGGATAGAGTTTGATCTTCATGCACTATGATCCATTAGAGAAACCATGACAAACCAAGCTGTCGGCTGTTGCACCAAGTTGGCTGTTGGCTGTTGGGTTGTGAGAATTAAGGAGACGATGGAGACTTTCAGATTGTGAAGATAGAAGATGTGACCATCACTGCAGCCATTTAAGTTAGGCTCATCGCCCGAAATGGCAGGCGTAGAAGTGTGTTGAGGTTTTGACAGATTTGAGGAAGCGACCTTGAAGTTGAACCCGGGTCCACTGACCCCAAACTGCAGAGCTTAGCCAAATTTAACCAGTCACAAAAATTCAAGTCCCGGAGTACATAGATCCGTATGATCTTATGATAGGATTCACGCGATTGCGACTTTGCCTCCTTGCGGCTTGGGCAGCATTTAAGGCGGTGAAGAGAGAGATGTGTGACAAGCTCATCAGTATGACAATGAAAGGCATCGAGACTCCTCAAACGCCTATCAAGTGCCGCAAGCCGGTATTCTTGAGAATAGCAAAGTAATTGCGAAAGTAACAATAGATATAGTCAGAAGGTGTGTTGTGTGTGTGGGGGGGGTACACCATTCGCGGCTTTGTTAGGCCATTTTGGCTCAAGAGCTTGGACGGTGGTATGCCGGAACCCATCACTTCTTTCTATTGTTTTTGAGCTTTGAAGACGGCTGTGCTTCACCGCTGTCATTCTTCCGTGTCATTCCCCGCGCCCTGACCTTCACGCACTGAACACTTCATTTCACCCCTCGACCTCCCAATAAGCCCTGGCTTGAACCCCACCCCCTTCTTCCCCAACAAGCCCTCTTGGGTGCAACATTTTAAACACGCCGACCAACTTTACACCTGCGCACCTGATAATGTCATCCTTTTGCCAGGGCCTGCCAGTTGCTTGTCCACAGTGCTCCCTGAAACACCCATAGAGTCAGAAAGGCATTGTGGGGGCGGCCTAGACCATGTGCGGCTCTGTTTATTGGGCAATTTGGTTCAAAAGCTTGCAAGGTGATCCCTTCCTGTCCCACCCACCCACACCTCTTGGGATTGTTTGGGATTGGAAGGCGGTGTCTGTTTGACACCCCAGATGTCCAACTTCCTTACAAACAGGAGTGATCCGACTCTGATGCCAGTCAGTCTGCTTGTGACGTTGTTGTCTCTATATATATATATATAATCTTGTCAATTTCAAGCCCTTGCCACAGCTCACTTGTTCACTGCAGTGAAACAATTTGAGGCGTTGGCCGGGGCAGCGCCGATCATCCGGAAGGATCCCCAGGCATGGTTGCTCACTGGCGTAGGTTCTTTTTTTATATGGACCAATGGAGTGTTTTCAGTTAAGCCTTCCAACTTCCGTCTGTCAATTCGTAGTTGGACACCATGATTGAAAAATCGACCTAGTGGAACCTGCAATGGACTTCATTGACAACGCATGCGGCGGAAACTGTGTGGAATCATTGTCGAGACTAAAGCTGAAGAAACTATTTGTTGACAGAGGTCGGTCTTTTATGACGGTGTCCATTTGCATGTGTTTCGGCCTTTGCAAGATCCTTAGAAACACATATTTTTGCTTTTTGTTTTATAATTCTTGCCAAGATGGACAGGTTTGGAGTCTTACAGCACAGGGTGAGGCGCTACCATGTTTATGATTCTATCGACTTGGCTTAGGGGAGAGCACAGTAGTTCCGAAAGTATTGTTTTATAATCTCAAGGTACATGAAGACAAGACGTAGAGAGAAAGGAAGTGAGAGAGCAAGAAAGAGAGCGGGCGCGTGCGACAGAGCGAGCGAGAGCGGGAGGGAGAAAGCACCAGTATTCTTGACTCAGTTGAATGACACGAGATTCGAGATGCTTCTGAAAGCATGGAATGTGGAAAGAACTCGCAGGCTGAACGCCAGTCAGTGATCCTTCACCGCAATATGCCAACTTGGGAAGAATGACGGAAAGCACAGATCACCTTTTCCGAAAGCATGTGTATTTGCCAACTCTCATTCTCATTTGCTCAACCGGCACAGATCTGTGTCTCGGATGTCCCAGGATTGCAGACACCTACTTCCCAAACTGTTCGTATCTCAGCGTACAGCCCTCGGATGTGCATCAGATCCGTTGTGGCCATCCGCACAAACGTCGCACGTGCTCCGTTTGTGTTCGGCCAAAACAAGATGAAAAGGACGAATTGGTTGGATGCAGGCGTCTCGAAAAACGATTGACAATACGCGAATGGACACGAAGTGTTTTCTGCGTCAAGGTCAGCAACCAGTCGGAGGCAACAGACTGCAGTAAAATCGATGTGACGAGCTGCTCAAGTTACTTTGTTCTGATCAATGGAGTGAAGTCAGCTCCGCGGCTGAATTAGGGGCTCTTACTGTTCAAGCAAGAACATTGAAATTGTGGATCCCGCACCACAAATGGGTCTGGTGTATGTATTCTGGTCTACCACCCACCACCGTCGTTCATCTATCATCCATGCTTGTGCTGAAGAAAGGTTGCCCTTGAGGCGTTCAGATCTTGCCCGAGGTGTGTGAAGCACAGAATGGCGCATGCAGCGATCGAGGAGATGCCTTGTGCTGCTATTCATTGAGCACAGCCCTTAAAAGCAGATCATCGATGATCATTGCAAAAGGATCATTGGATTCTTGTATTCAAGGTATTCATCTATCTTGAGCACAGCCTTTCTATTCCTTGATGATCATTGCAAAGAAGACCTTGCAATCTCCCAAGACACCTCACTGAGTCAATCAGGTGGCTCGCATCTTTGCGATGACGGCTTCCGCAAGGACAGAGAGTTTTGGAAAGATGTTGCTGTTACTAAAACAGATATACCTCGATATCTTGGTCCTACAGTCCTACCCTCAAGAAACACTTCAAGGATGTGTCAATCTCCTGAATGATCTGTGCTTCCTTGCAAAGTGATACAACGCTTGATCGGCAAGCCAATACCATGGTGAGATTGTGAGCTACAGACCATTATCTTCGCTACTAAGTTTCCCAAAAAGTCGAAGAACCAAATGATTAGTTTGAGCGCTTCTCCAAGGAAGCTCCCCCCGCCGCCTTTAGGGCGGGGGAGCTTCCTTGAAGAAGCCTGAGCTATCCTGCATCCTAGGTAGTAGCTACTTGTTAGCTACTAGCGACTCCCTAGCTTCTACTAGCTACCTACCTAGCTACTACCTCCCTCTACAGCCTGCTCCCCGGGCAAAAAAGATAACAACAGTGGATAAAGCCATTCTTTTTGGCTCTGAGAGACTGAGACTCATGTTTGTCCCTTTTCTATTCGAGGTCACTGAGTTACCTCTGCAGGCGAAAAGGCTCAGGAGAGTCGAAAGTTGTGAAGCAATTCAGAAGCGATGGGGCTGCCGGAGAAGCTTTGCGGCTTAGCTTACAATGGCCGAGGCAACGCATGACGTCGGGCTTTAATCTTTGGAGTTCTGCTGTTGGAAGGTAGATTGGCCTTCTGACCATACTTTCACTGCAACGTGACCTGAGGAAAGATACCTACTCGGTGATCCCAGTGACCGTGAAATAGTGGTCACGCTCATTGAATGCATTTAGAGTAGTTGCTGTGATTGAGGATTATATAGACTGAATGTTTCAGTTGGCTATGTTGTGAGTGTTCGTTCTTTTCATTTTTTTGAAACATGCAGGCATAATGTCATATTGCCAAGCCTGCTCAGGTGTGCAATTGAGGGCAAGAAGTGCGTAGGTCTGGACCCTTTGATTCCTGATTCGACTGGCACGGAATGGAGACAAAGCCTGCACAGCTGGACATGGATCGCTTGTGGATCCGTTTCAACCATAGAGTTGCCACGGGAGGCAGATCATCCCCTGCATCAGACCTGGCCTGTTGCAAGAAGTAGGAGACCTCTCTGTGCGACTCTCAGAGTTCGAAGAATTGGCGTTGAACAAACCATTACAGCAGAAACCTAAAACACCAATCCTCCAGTACCATCCAGTACCTGTATGTACTATCATGCCTTGCACCTCTTGCTGAGCTTTCAGTCTGTTGCAGTTGCTGGACGAAACTTGGACTTTTTGTACACCTACCCGTCAGCAACGTTTGTAGGTGTCCTCGCATTCGAAGAGCTTTGCTTGCCAGGTGCCGTAGTGCACGACAAATTGTTCAAAGGAACGTAGAAATCACAGCAGGCTCACGAAGTGACAAGGAAGCTACAATGCCTGCAGATGGAATGCCTAATCACCAGCATGGACCAATCCAGAGCAGTGGTTTCTCACCAAGGTGCGTGGCTCGAAAGGAAGATGCTGGCTGTGCATGCTCTGAGAAGTCAAAAGACTCTGCAGCTGTCAGCTCTTCCAAGGGCGCATTGAGGAACTCCACAATCTCAAAATCGGAGATTGCTCTACAAACTAACGAAACGGGTAAACTGGCTGAGAGGAGTCCAGTAGTGCTAACCGCAAAATTCAAGGGCGTCCTTTTTTGCTGGAGCAAGCATGTTGAGCAAACGATTACTTGCATTGGATCAGTCTCGTCTCCCTTGAAGCCCAAGTAAGTGTAGAACGCCGGCTGAGGACTTCTCATGTGAAGCAAAGACATTTGAGACATGAGCGTCCAGGCACATTGTCATTCCAAGAACCGGTCGCTCGGTCTGTCTTGTGCTGCGTTGTTCGCAGACTATGCGGTCGAGGCTTTGTCAAGCAGGACGAATCTTGGCACAGTCAATCCTCACGCGTGGTGCCGGCCAGGCCTCCTCGCCCAAAGTCACTGGTGAGGGTCACACCGCTGGAGGTGCCAAGAGCGATAGGGCCACATGGAAGGTGGACAGCAAAGGGTAGGGGGTTCGCGTGGATGCGATGGGAATGCCAAGCCATTTGGATAAATTAGAGAACATCAAGGGTTCAGAAACCTTGAAGTAGCCGGATTCTGCAGGCTCAGCGGCTGCCCCTAGCGCCCGGCCACAGGTGCAAGTTTCGTCAAGGTTTTGGACTTTTGGAGTGGTCATGATTTCTATGATTCCTAGCGAGCAGTTGAGCAGCATACCTCAAGACGTATCGGCCTTACGTACTAGTGTTCAACTTTCCCTTGGGGACAGTTTGGTATCCAGGGCCACGGCCCAACTTTGGGGAAGGTGGAAGACGATGATGTTCATACCTTTGCAAGCACAGGCCGACATAAGATTGGATGGATTGTTGTGCTGCAGGCTAAAGCCCCGAACTTTGCTCTGGCTTGGCAGTTCGTCTCCAACTTGCCAGGTGCACCACCAGGCCATGTGTTGATATCAAACAGAGTTGCAAACATAGAGACGACTTGATTTCAAAGTCCCAAAGTATGGCGTCCCTGTTCTTTCCTGCCACTCACATATGGCGAAGCTGGAAGGTGCCCCAGCGCCAGTCTACCGTGCAGCAAATTCGCCGAATTTGCCACGGGCAGGCATGGCGTCTGAGTAAAAAGAAGCATTGTGTCAGGATCTACCTGGGTCCCACACTATGTCACTATGGCAATGGAAAGTGAACGCCCCGGTCAAAAAGATACTCTTACTTCACAACTCATTTTCTGGTTTCGTTTAATAAGATGTCATAACTCATAACTACAACCAAACAAGCGTCACGTCTGGAAGATCTAGAGACGGTTTTCCCATTGAGCACTTCTGTCGGGCTCCGGACGGGCAGGTTCACCACCGATGAATTCGGGTGTGCGTTCACCCCGAGCCGTGTCGCCGTGCAGAGCTGAGAGAAGTCGGGGAGCGAGCAACGGAGCAGAGGGAAAGCGCCGGCGGCGAGTGATGGATGGCGCCATGGACTATAGACTATAACCTAGAAGCGATGGCCTCCAACGCAACGCATTTATCAATGTTTCAAACACGGCACTGCTTGTCAACTCCCCTTCCGTTCTGGTTGTGTGGCAAAAGAATGTCATGAAGCAGCCCAGTTTCTATGAATGCAAGCTTGGAAGCATGCGGAAGCACAGTTTCTTTGAGGGTTCCATGCTCGGAAAAGTTCATGGGGTGAAGTGAACCGTTGGTTGTCATTTGGTTGTCTCAAGCTTCAAATCTTGATCAGTGACAGTGGACCGCCAAATTCCACAGCGCCAACGCTTCAATAACCGGTCATGGGTCACTGTGAGACATCCAGGAGCCCCTAGTAGCGTCCTTGGTCCTAGTAGTAAGGCCAGGAGCTCCTAGTAGCTTCTTGTTACTAGTAGTAAGGCCAGGAGCTCCTAGTAGCGTCCGATCGCTCCTGGTCATGGGTCACTGTGAGACATCCAGGCCAATGAGCAAGTCATTGCATCTCGGCTGATCGGACCGCGATTCTCAGTCCCTTGAGTTGCATGCCGCATCGTTCCGACTCGACTGGGTGCCAACGTGAGAACGTCAAGACAGGGACGCTACGAACGGGGCTCCTGGCATCGCTACTAATTAAGAGCAAGGACTCTACGAACGGGGCTCCTGGCCTTACTACTAGGAACAGGAGTGCTACTAATTTGGAGAAGCTCACAACGAAGCTGTTGGCCATTGCATGCGGCTCTAAACCGAGGTGTTCACCAGGTATCGGCCGGCTAGGAGTGAAGGGACTGAAAGCGAGAAAGGATCGGATTCACCAGAAAGACACAGGGGGTTAAGATACGTTACGATAATCATGTGGGCAAATCGAACATTCCAACCCTTTTGGAGGTTTTTTTTTTTCTGACTCAGAATTCAGTGACCGGTTTCAGCCGCCCATTTACTGTAAAGGCTTCTTGACTTGTGTCCAGGAGGGGCTGCGCCACCCAGCAACCGCATGCAATTGGCGAAAGCGCCCATGAATTGGAGGGCTGGCCCGCCAGGTGGGTCACCCTCCGGCCCTGGTGGCCTTGGCCCCGTGTCCGCAGCGGAGTGGAGTTCCTCCCCGCGTGCGCATTCACCACTGGTGGTGAGGATTCCAAGTCCACATGCAAAGGAGCACCACGTGCTCAATCCCACACCACGGATGGTGATGACCAAACATCCCTCGCAATCCCAGATCGGACCACACCGGGAACAGGTCCGGTGGTCTCACGTGGGACGGCAGCTCTCTCCTCGAACGCAGCCAGTTCGACAAGGCTCGCCTCCAGGTGTGCTGAGCCGGGCATCACCACAGCAAGGTGCACAGGCTCCGCCCCCCTCCGACATGTATGAGATGCAGTTGCCTCCGCAGGCACCACAGGCTTTCCAGGCAAAGCATCCCCACATCATCCAGGCACATGTGCCACAGGTGCCACAAGCACCACAAGTGGCTCCACAGGTACAGCAGGTGCCACAAGCGGCTCCACACCCATCCCAAGCCATGCAGCACCCAATGCAACTTTTGCAAGCGCCTCAAGCAGTGGAGTCACTCCCCCACGTGCAAGTAACAACTTTAGCAAGGATAGCAGGTGATCCTTTGCAAGCACAACTGCTTGAGAACAATCTGGTGGTGCGGAAGGCCTCATCAGATGCGACCCAGGTTCCTTCACGCAGGGTACCCGCCTTAGCAAGCTTTGGCTGAAAGAGGGATTCTGAGCAGAAGGACAAACATAAACAACTGAACTAATTATACAGATATAATCAGATATATATATATATACATAAACATACTGCAAGTAGCTTGCAAAGCATTGTCCTTGCATTGTTTGTGTAGTCTCTTCTTGGGATGTGTGCGGGACATTGTCCACCAGGCTTCAAATGGAACGCTGTCTCCGGTGCAGTCGCCAGTGTTGCTTGCCAAAGAGGACACGAGCTGGTTGTTTGGAGTGTTGATCCTTGAACACATTTAAATCATTTGCAAACTACTAAGTGGACTTGGATTTCCAAATCAAATTCCAGGACTTGATTTGTCTTACCACTCACATTTGTTTGCTGCATCTTCTTGACCCACATTATTTAATTAAATTAAGAGATGATAATTGAGGATTGACGGAATTTTCAGAGCCCTGTCCACATGGTAGAAGGCTAGTTAAACGTTTATGCACACGATGACGTGGAAGACTTGTGAAGGTGACGTGGAGAGCAAGTGATGTAAACTGCAGGGCTAATTGGGTACAATTGATTCGCGCTCATGCTGTATGGGGTTATTCATGGGCTCCTTCCTACTGAATTCTGGATGTACAATCTATGAAACAACATTCGGATCAGGTTCGTTTTCTGAGGTTGACAACACGCGGCGTTGCAACTTCCGAGTCGCCACATCCTGGCACAGAAGGTGCGATATAGAGTAGTTAAATCGTTCAGTTCGGCAAGCACTGCAACAAGAGTTCACAAGCATACTAATCCTGATACTCGTGTCACACGTCGTTTGTGGTGCATTTTGGAGTACAGTCTCCTGTGCACTTGTAGTCTTGCAGTCTTTTCATGTCTTTTTGAGGCGGCAAAAGCAGTGCTGCAACCCAGCCACTTTGGGCGCTCCATGTCGAGGTGGGGCTCCAAGCGAACTGTCAGATCAGAAACTCATAGGGCTTGCACGGTGTTATGGGTCAGGAACATATCGAACTGGCACGTTTGGGAGTCAGTGTGGCTGCATTTTTGACATGTTTTGAACTCTCCTGCCCATTTCGGCATCGGCGGCTCAAAAGCGTGCTGGCAAAAAGCTGGCCGTTGTTGAGCACTTCACGAAGTCTGCAAGTTGAACAAAGAACGAAAACTCCTGTTGAAAGTACATTGCTTTGTCGTGGTGGGTCCGTGTCCGCCATGGATGCTTCAAGATCATCTCCCTTCCGTCCATCCATGGGCCCGTTGGGGGCAGGCCGATTGAGGTCTGCCAGTCCATCACGCCGTGCGCTGGCCATTGACATGCGGCGTATTGCCAGCTTGCTCCGTGACCCAGCTGGGGCTTTGCATGGGCCGCATCATGAGGGCATGAACAATTCGATTTGTTCCAGCCCCAATAGTGCGTGGGAGCCCGGTGATCGTGGCGCAGCTCCCATGACCACCCAAGCCACCCAAGCCCGAACAGCCAGCCTTTCTCGAACCATCATTGAGAATCAATTCACAGCGCTGGCTGAACGCATCAATGCTGGAGTCACAACTCTCCAGCGCCAATGCGAGCTCGATCGACGGCGCTTGACACAAGTTGAGAAGAAACTTGATGCGAAAACAGCTGAGGCTGACAAGCACGATGGGCGAGAAAGGTGGGCAGAAGTACAAGGAAGTGTGAGTGGGCTTCTTGAGGAGACTCAGGCGTGGGGATGAAATTAAGGGCGGCTAAACCTGCATGTTGAGTTCACTTCACTGGAACATACAAGAGTTTGGAGCCAGCAACGCTTTCAGGACGCCCTCATGAATGGGGTTGTCATTTAGTTGCTTCTACTTCTACTTGCAAAGCTCCTTGTTCTGTCCCATGGTCCGGTTCCTTTTTTCGTCGGAACTGGGAATGATCAGGTTCCTAGTGTGCAACAATACGACCAGCAAATCGTTCTATCTCTATCCAGAGATCTAGATCCAATCGTTCAATCATGAACTGAATCTTCTACCTTTCTTGGGCCTCTTCTGCCGTCATACTTCGGCCAAAAAACAGGCGCTTGCTCGTCGTTTGGATGGCTTGGATGAACGGCTGTGGGCACGCACCAGTGGCTCAGAAGCCTCCAAGCAGCGGAATCGTGACCTGGAGCAGCAAGTTCAGGCAGGCATGGGTCCATTCTCCTTCCAGCAGCCGAGAACCCCGAAGTGAAAGCAACATGCATATGCATTTCCATTCCATTGACTCATAACTGCATAGCTTGAACCTGGGGTAGACAACAAAGAAATTGCCCACAACAGGGTCCATCGGTCCAGGCTCTGGAGCAACAGAATCGCTTGGCAGCTGCAGCGGCCGAAGAGTTGCAGAAGCGTCAAGCCACCAAGATCCGTCGCACCGAGCACTCCATGGAGGAAGTCATGCGCCGTATGGAGAAACTGGAGGAAGAGCTTCGACAAAGGGCACCACCTCAGCGGGATGGCTACATGGAGGCGAAGTTCATTGCCTTCGAACAGAATCAGGAGACGACTGAAATTTGCTTGGTATGTCGGCTCTAAATCCTCCACCTGTGACCCAAGTTCTGGCATTTCTGAGCTGAAATGCGCTTGTTCTTGACCACTCATGCCCAATGTCACAGCAGCACCCAGGTGACGACGGCCTGATCCAAATAGGCCTAAGCGTGCCATAGAAGCAGACCTTGTGAATTGGAACCCTGCACAGGTGTGAATGCATCCAAGATCTTCTAAGTGACTCACAAAAGAAGTGCTAGATATGGCGCCCGCTTTGTGAAATTGGATGCTTTGATTGGATGATTCGGTGATTCCGTTCGCTCAGGAGGCGTTGGACACCGAGATTCGAGCACTGCAGGCCAATCTTGAGGATGGATTGCAGCAGCTCCGGGAAGAATTCAAAGATGGTCAATCTGCGGGCGCTTTGGAGCCGGACGATCGCGCCCTCTCGGCATTGGAAAGGAAGGTTGGGAGTTGAGAAAAACGAATTCACAGTTCAATTCCAACTCAGAACCACAGTTGTCCAACTGCCTTTCCCTTCTCCTTCCCCCGAAACTTCTACTGTAAGGAAGCAGGGGGAATAAGTTCCGATTCAGAAACTACGAAGAGAAACACAACACTGGTTCAAAAGTCGAGCAGGTAGATGGGTGGCCGGGGGGCGGTTGGGGGGAATAATGACGTGCGGTTTATGGTTGCGAGCAAGGCGAGGAAGCACATCAATCACGCAGGCCCACAGAAGAATAAGCACAATTCAACCTAAAATATCTAAACTGCCAAACATTTCAACTGGTGTGAGAAGGACATCTCGGTTTGGATGGATCTTTTCAATTGTTGCGCCATCTACAGAGTTATGGTATGTTATGGTATGTTATGGTTGTAAGTTATAAGTATGGCAGTCATCTTTGTGGCAACGCAGGGTCTACTTGGGAGGGGATATCCCTGATGAATAGATTTGACCGCTGGGGATCCTTGCATCTAATTTGACCAGCATCTTGAAGATTGAGAAAACCCAAAAAGCACCACGAAACCACAGGTGGGAGGGTAAAACGAATCACCATTGCTGATGTCATGGTGAAGTGTGTAGGGCCAAAAGCCGGCAGAAGGTCAACTGGGTGCAGTGTGGACATGTTTGTTGCCTCCTTCTTTGGGCATCCGCTATAGCTTCCGAATCAGCCTGTAGTTTCCGAATCATAGCTTCCGAATCCGTCCTTGACCTGTGGGGGCAGTACGGTCGAGTGCGGCTGAGTGGTGCATCCTTTGAATTCGTTCATCACCTTGTGGAGTTTTTAGTGGTCACCTCTCGGTATCTCATGGTATCCCGCTTGCCTCGACCTACCTCAGTGCTTCACGCAGTATCACTCAATCAATCTCAATCATACTCGATCACTCAAACATCACTGTCAATTCTGATCACATTCTCAGCGACTGTTTTGCTGGTGGCTCCAGCATTTGAAGCTTGTCCGAGGCTTTTTTTTCATTGCAGGCACATGACCTCGTGTTTCGGATGTGAAGCGGCCTCAAAAATGCATTTGTTGCGCTTGGACCCAATTCAGTTTCCTCTTTTGGCAGCCAGATTTGGTGACAAACGTAGGCTTTGTTCGCTGTGGAGGCCTCCCGAAGTTTTCGGACTGGGAGTGGTATTTGTGTCGTGCTTTGTTTGGCGCTGTTCGATGTTCGATCAGCTCAAAGCTGTTGCTGTCGTTCCCCACCTGTCAGGTGAGGGTTGTTAGATTTTATCTCAGCCCCATCTCCTCCTCCTCCTCGTCCTCCTCCAGTGTTCCCTGCTGGACCTCAACCACGACCATCCGCGCCCAGTGTTCCCCGCCGGACCTCAACCACGACCATCCGCGCCCAGTGTTCCCCGCCGGACCTCGACCACTCGACCACGACCATCCGCGCCCAGTTTTCCGCGGCCAGTGTTCCCCGCCGGACCTCAACACACAATTACAAACAGAACAACAAACACACAGCCACAAGCACACAACCACAAACACAACCAGAAACACACAATCACAAACACACAGCCACAAGCACACAGCCACAAGCTACAACCACAAACACACAACCGATACACAACCACAAACACACACAACCACACAACCACAAGCACAATCAGAAACACGCAATCACAAACACACAACTACAAACACAACTACAAAGACACAATCACAAACACAATCAGAAACACACAATCACAAACGCACAACTACAAAGAGACAATCACAAACACATAACCACAAACACAGCCAATCACAAACACACAACCACAAACACACAACCACAAACACAATCAGAAACACACAATCACAAACACACAACTACAAACACACAACCACAAACACACAATCACAAACACAAAACCACAAACACACAACCACAAACACACAACCACAAGCACACAACCACAAACACACAATCACAAATACAAAACCACAAACACACAACCACAAACGCACAACCACAAACACACAACCACAAACACACAACTACAAACACACAACCACAAACACACAATCACACGCACAAAACAACAAACACACAATCACAAACACACAACAAACACAACCACAAACATACAACCACAAGCACACAACCAGAAACACGCAACAGCAAACACAACCACAAACACACAATCACAGACACACAACCACAAACACAATCACAAACACACAACCACAAACACAACCACAATCAAACACACAACCACACACACAGTCACAACACAACCACAACACACAACCGGAGGACCCAAGCAAGATCGAGAACCACAAGAATCACCATAGTGTGGGAGCAATCAGTTCGATCATATGCCAGAGTGACTAGGGTCGGATGCATTTCCATATCTGTTGGCGCAGCTGTTTGCAAAGAGACTTGAGACAGGCAACATCCTACAGCAAGTATAGTACATAATACTACTCCTGCTGCTGCTGCTCCTACTACTACTACTACGACGACTACTACGACTACTACGACTACTACGACTACCACGACCACCACCACCACCACGACTACGACGACGACGACGACTACTACTACTACTCCTACGACTACGCCTACGCCTACTCCTGCTCCTACTCCTACTCTACTACTGCTCAGGCCCTGGAAGTTTCCCAGGTGAAATGATCTGAGTTGTACTATTAGTTGGGCACAGGTCTCCTGATGAAAGCATTCGCTTCGGACAAAGCAGTAAGACTTGGCGCTGAAGGACTTGTGCTCTGGGCTGAATTACACAACGAGGGTGAGGTCAACGTGGTTGTTTTGAAATGTCATTGTGGGGATCACTCGAAGTCAAGTAATTTTTGTCTTAGAGGTGCAGACTTCCCAGCCACAGTAAAAACATGTAAACATGACCTGATTGGGGTGTGTGGTTTTCAGATTTAGTCTTGCTAGGAAGCTAAGATAAGCAAATTCTACGCAGGCTGTGCCGTCAGGGAGTTCGATTTGTTTCTACGCAGGCTGTGCCGTCAGGGAGTTCGATTTGTGTAGGGCTTGTGGTTTGGCGAAACGACGTCTCGGATGCACTATCGCACTGTATGATTATGCCGCTGGTGTCCAGACATCTTGTGTTCATGAGGCTTTGCCTTCGCGAATTGACAGATTGCTGGGTGTAAACGTCTTTTGTTTTCTATCTTAGTGGTAAAGTGGTGATGATGTGTTTCTACATGCAGCGAAGTGGTGCCGTATGTATGTAGCAGTCGTGAAGTGGTGGATGTTGAAGTGTGTCCCGTTTGTTTTTGGTCGGTCGTTCTGGTGGTGTTTAGTGATGTCCGATTTGTTTCCTTTTAGTCTTGACATCTTCATATCAGCATATTTCAGCCACGGCCAGGTCACAGGCCAAGTGGAGGAGGTTTCTTCCAACATGGCGAGTTTGCGTGTGAAGGTGGATCGATTGATGGACCGCGTTGGCAGCTTGGCCGAGCGCATTGAGACCGCGCATGAGCCCTCCATTGACTCCTTGCGCGTGGAAATCTCGCAGGCACGAGGCCAGGAACGTCGCGAACTTGATGCCGAGATTCAGTCCTTGAAGAGCAGATTGCAACATACTCAGGACTTGGGTTCAGAACTCAGGACTTGATGAGCAGGACTATGCGTTGAAGATCGTAGTTACGTCAGCAGGTTTGTTCCAACATACCCATTTCTGCTGTTAATGTCACAGGATAACTTTTCTGTGGATCATAGAATCATACAGATTACGACTGCGTTTTGGTTCTGTTTGGCACCGAGGACTCCACAGAGGAAACCTGCATCGAGGTTCGTGAAGCCTTGCGTCAAGCCCGTGCTGAGACTGCAGCTCTGAGCTACAGACCTGATATCCAAGAGGACAGTTCCTGGATGCGCACCACGGAAGAAAGATTGGCAGGTCATGAACAGGATTTGTTTGATCTGCGAGAGAGAGTGGAGGAGCTAATCCAGGGTGATCCGGATGGAAAGCCACTCAGGGACAATGAGGATGTGGAAAACATCAGGCGTCGCTTGGAAGTGCTGGAGGAACAGGGCACTGCAGTTGAGGACCCTGAAACGACCCGGATGGTTCAGGTCCAAAACACCATTTGTGACCTTGTCGAGCAAGTTTCCAAGCTCAAACAGCATGCCAGCAGTGCAGAGGCCAACAGCTCTTCTTGGCAGCAACAAGTCAAGCAGATTCACAGTCTCATTGAGCGAAAGCAGAACGAGGATGCAGCATCCTTGCGAGTCAATGGTGAAGTGGAGGCAAAAGTGGGAGCATTGTCCTCCCAAGTGGCAGACATCGCCGCCCGGCTTCTGGAGGTCGAAGGGAATTTGGACTTCGTGCGGGAGACCGAGCAGTCCTCCTTGACCGAGGCCCCGAACTCCGGAGTGGCAGGGCCGGGCACGCAGGGGTCAGGTGGTGGGAATGCTGCTTTGCAGGAGAAGCTTGAAGCCGTGGCACTGCACTTGGAGATTGTGGATGATCTGACTGAGCGCCTTGGAGATTTGGAGCGAAAATGGAATGCTGGCCCAGAACCACACGGGATGGGTAGTCCTCCTGGTCCCTTGTCAGAGGTGAGCTTTGGTGGTGAGGCTCCCGTCAAGGCTTCTGCTCCTTCAGATCATTTGGGGCGCGAGCTCGGAGATTTGCAGCTCCGCTTCGATGCAAATGATACCAAGCTCAAGTCAATACACGAGGAACTTCGAACAAAGTTGGCTCTTGCAAAAGCAGATAGTCAAGGAACGCAGGCACAGTTGAATGACCTTGCTGCGCGACTCGGTGGAGATGAGCAAATACTTAGCACTTTGCAAGAGGCACCAGCAGTGTCCTTTGCTGACTTGGATGCATTGCGCCTAGAGTTTGCTGATAAGTTTGATCAGATGCAACCCTCTACGGAGCAAGTGGAACCAGAGACCAAAGACACCAGTTTGATTGCGGGCGAGCTGATGGAGGTGAAGCATGTCGTCAAGGAGCTCTCAGAGAAGGTGAATTCGAACCACTTGAATCTTGATGATCTTCAAGAAAGCCTCGCCCAACTCGCAGCTAACACGAAGGCATTCGAAGCTACAGTGCCAGGCATGAAGGAGGAGATCAAAGAGCTTCGAAGTCGCTTGCCAAATGCAGATGCAGAAGCCAGTGCTGAGCAGGCCATCCTTGAAAAGTTGGAGGAGGTCGATGCCGATCTCAAGTACTGTAAGTTTGAGTGTGGCACCTTTGCCAAAGGAGGGGATTTGGGCCATCTGCGGGACAGAGTCAAGGAACTTGAGGAGATTGCACAAAAGCCCACGAAAGGAGAGCGTATGATCAAGGACGTTCAGGAGCTTATCAAAGGAAAGTACCAGCAGCAGGAAGAAATCATGAAAGACTTGAAAAAGTTCTATGAGCTAGAGGCACGATTTGATGCGACCAAAGTGGAGACAGACACCGAGCTGCAAAAACTTTGTGCGATGATCAATGATCTCCAGAAGGAGCAGATCGAGGAACCGAAGGAAGGAGAGTCAAACCTGGAGAGCATGGCAGATCTGAAAGATCAGATTGCTGCTTTGGAGCAAAAGATTGATTCCGTCAGTGGAGAACATGTCATCGATCGCGCAGAGGCCAGTGCAGAGGATGTGAAGCTCAGATCTCAGGTGCAGCAACAGGTTCAGGACATTGGCATGCAACTCTCCAAAGAAGTGGCCAATCTTGCAGAGCATCAGAGAGACCTGGTTGAAACGAGGTGTAGCTTGGAGGATTTGAACAAGAAGTTCGATGATGTCACCGGCCTTGAAAACCAGATCACTCATGTGGCGGAGCGACTGAGCTCCACTGAATCTGTGGTGTCCACAGCAAAGAAGGAACTCGAAGATATGCGGACCGAAGTCACCAATCTCCTGGGCCGAATCACGTCTACTGAGTCGTCTTCTTGTGAAATGAAAAAGGACTTGGAAGGTCTTCTGGGGCCGCGAAACAAGATTGGCATCAGCCTGAATGGTGCCAGTCAGTCTCCCCTTGATGAGATCCGTGGTCGGTTGGACATTCTGTCTGAGCAGCTTGCAGAGTTGCAGAGCAAGCAAGACTTTCCTGCTGCACCTGCCACACATGTTGCCCACAAAGATTCTGTTGCCAGTGGAGATGGAAGTCTGAATTTTTCCCTCACCGAGCACACCGAACGGCCCGGAGCCCCTGATGGCAGCCTGAACTTCTCTTTGACAGAGACGGCAAAGGACGTCACAGAGAAAAGGTTTGCCGCACCAAGCCCTTACATCACTGCAGAGGCTGACTCTGCATTTGATGTTCTATCTGATAGTGCTTCACCTGCGAGCTCAGCTGGAAGGATCGCCCAGAGCTTGACAGTGGAGAAGGATGCTCCTCCATCTGCTCCGGACTCTCCGAATTCTGGTCAAAAGGGTGCAAGCTCAAGCCAAGTGAGTGCTTCGTTCAATGAGATGAGTATTTGTCCAGACCAGTCTGTGGAGCTTTCCACAGAACTGGAACAGAAGTGTGACTTTGTGGAGGAGGTTCGACCCGTCTCCAAGCCTCGATCTGATCGTGGGATTGCCTCATCTCCCATTAAAGAGGAAGAGGAAATTCCGGAAAATGCCGATGCAAAAGCCGAGCCCGCGAGGCTGGAGCCCGGGCAAGCAGCCTCGCAGCTACGGCCTTTGGGGCCCCTACCATCAAGGCCGACTCCAGCTCCTCTGGATTCGCTAGATTCCTTGAGCAAGCCCAAACAACCGATGTTCACTGCCACCAAGGCCGATGCGGCTGACGCGTTGGATGTCTTGTTGAAGCCAAAGGCCAAAACTTTGCCTCCCTTGACTCAAGTGGATGAGTCCAAGCCGAAGGAGCCTATCTCGGTGACTGAACACGCGGCTGAGAAGGAAAAGAAGGAGGACGATGAAGAAGAGGAAAAGGAAAAGAAAGAGGAGAAGATGGAAAAGGAAGAGGAAGAAGATGATGAATATGAAAATTCATTCGACGATGACGGCGATGACGACGTTGACGACAACATGTCCGTGCCGCCAGAGTCCATTCATTCATGTAGTCAAGATTCTGTGTGAATTCGTCGAATTCGTTCTAGTTTCACGCAGCTGAAGAGTGAACTAGCGAACTGGGCCAGAAAAAGGTTGCGAAACTGGACTCCACAGGTCACCAGGTAACCAGGTATTTCAAATCAGCCTGTGGCCGATTCCGGCAAGCAGCGGATGACCAGTGTATCGTGAGGTTCCAGGCACCGCACGTAGCCTACTCCATGAGTGGGAAGCAGGATGTGAACTGCCTGCCACACAGAGAGTGGGGTTGCTCTTCCAGAAGGAGCGACGAACAGGCAGACTAATTGGAACCTTTTTTTGTGGAAGAACAGCTTTTTGTGGTCCCCTTCTCTTCCAGCTTCGATTTGCCTCGAAGAATGTGCCACAATCTTGTCGATTCTTTGACAAGCGACTTTGAAGCGTTGGGTGAGAACGACCTGTTGAAAACAACTGGTGAGGACTTTTTCACGTCTGTGCTGGGCGAAGAGGCCACTGGATGTACACGGTACTTTTCTGTTGTAAAAGGGACTTATAAGTACTCCATACACTAGTAGTAACAAGAAGCTACTAGGGGCTCGTGGCCTTACTACTAGGAGCAAGGACGCTACTAGGGTCTCCTGGCATCGCTACTAGTAGCATTCTTACTACTAGTAACAAGTCCAGCAAGTCCATAACTATTTTCGAGGGATTGATGCGTGGCACCACTCCCTGGAGCCTTTGACACTCCAGGCCTCTTTGGTGGACCGGGAGCAGTTCCAGATCTGGGCAGTGCAGTCAGTCGCGAGCATCTCAGTTCGATGTGAAAACCGCATGGCCTTGTGTTGGAACGCTGGACAGGGGAGCACCAGTCCGGAGCCTTGGTGCCGTGCCACTCACAGTTCTCTTCACTCATTCCACGCAATCCCTTCGATAGAGACGAATGCTTTTGGGATGCTTTTTCATGCTTTCATGCACCGTCATCAAGACAGCATCCTGTCCTGCTCAGACCGTTCGTGCTCCTTCTTTTTCACGCACGGTGCTCGGGTGAGTCTTGTGTGTATTGGTTCAAAGGCATTGTATGTACACACACACATGATATTTACACAGATGTTTTTGGAAGGGGCATTGAGCTTGCTTAGTTGCCCCGTCGTTTGAGGAATTTCAGCTCCAACGGAACCATGGTGAACGACCAGCTGCTATCAATTGGTGGGGAGCAGGCTAGCGCTTTCTCCATTCGTTGCATACAGGTTCGTTGCACTGATACTTGTTCAGTTGATCAAATGCGCTTGTCTTCGCTAAGTCCGCAGGTGCCCTTGAAGGATGGAGATCGAATCGCTTTACAGCGCGAGGGTGAACAGGGCGACACCAGAACGACCCTGCTAGAGTGGCTCAGCTCAGAGGGACGAGTGGGCCATGTGATGTCACGTCAGTTTTTCTCACCAATGGGTATGTCAGTTCATCAGTTGCTTCAAGATGTAAAACGACTCACAGCTGATTTGCGCTGTTTGTCATTCAATGTCCATCAATGTTTGTATTGTTTCTGAAAGCCGAATCCATCAATGTTTGTGTTTTCGATGCGGTCGGCCCAAACGAACTCTCCAGTTGTTCCACAGGTTGGCTTCCCTGGCATGTTCCTCTTCTAGGCCTCATCAGCAGTGTTTGCTTCCCCCTTTCCTATGTTTCCATTTCTCACGCGTGTGTTCAAAGATGGAGGAGACCTGTCAAAGACCCTCAGTTCAAACTTCAAACCGGCAAGTCATGAAACATCGACCAACCACGAAATAAAGATTACAGTGATCAACACATTATCCAAGGCATTCCAAAGCCATCCCAAACCCAAAAAAAGAATCCGAATATCCATATGGATTCATCTCAACATCCGTACACACGGACCCGAATTCACACGGACCCGTTTTCGATTCCCCCCGGATCGGCGGAGCGGCCGCGGATCGGTTCCCCGAGGTTCCGCTTCGATCTTCGGGGATCGATCCTGAAGGAGATTGACATCACATAAATTGATCTACTGTATTATAAACAACAAACAACGAGTCTGGTAACTAGTAACATGAATCGAACATGTATATGAAATGATGAGTGAAATGATGATACCTATGAGATTCCCTGATTCGATGATTCCGGGTGTACCCGCCTATCACACCCCCCAACGCAGAGCCATCGCAGAGTTGAAGACAAGTGATATAGAGAAGAGAGGGGAGATCCACTGATATTTTGGGACCATCCACATGCAATGCAATGCAATGAAACCATATGCAATGCAATCAATGACTTTGGATCAGACTTTTGAACGACACTGTGAGGCATCCGGACATTCACACCAAAGCCTCACCGGGATCACGCTGTGTGCGATCACGACTCGCAGCCTGGCTCCTCGTCGGCAGGACCTCGCAGCCTGGCTCCTTCCGGCACGGCATGTAGCTCCATTCAGCAACGCAAACGCTGCGCCCACCATGGCACATGTGCCTTCGGCGCCGATTTCGGTCCCTTTTTGGTGCAGAACGCGCGCGTTTGGTTCGAAACAGAATTCACCCATTTCGTTGAAGTCCATCCATTCTCGAGCTTTTGAGTTTTTGCTGACTTTGGTTCCATCCTTCTACAGTCAAAGCGCTTGCTATTGGCGGTAGAGACTGCAGCACTGCATCCTTGTCCCAAAGTCTACCTGGCCAGTTGCCGGGATCTATGGCAGAGCCAGCTCCACCAACTCCGCGTGAGGTTGGACCAAATGGTAGGATCAAGTGGGAGTGACTGCACATGGATGCTGAGAGGTGTTGACAAAAGCACGGTCGCATGAACGAAACCCTGCGACAACCGATCATTTGTATGCAACACTGCACGCTTGTTGATCACGTCCATGACATTGGCAACAACACTGATCACTGATCATACTGAAATCTCCAATAAAACAATTGCATGGTGTACTAACTAGTGGTTTGACGGTTCTGAAAGGGGGAGGCCGATCAAAGAGCTACAGATTGACCCAAACAGGTGTGGCAGATGAATCATAATATGAGTCCATGTGAATGTGGTGGTTCGCTTGAAGGCGATGAGGTGACAGGTTTGATCGCTAGGCGATGCCCATGCCTGCGCCCTCAAAGGAGGAGGAGGAGGAGTGGGTTATTTGTAGCTGAAAAGACAGTAGAAAGGGAGGCCTCAAAGCGGGCAGTAAAGAAAGCATTCTTGTCTGCAGCAGTTGCAAGTAGGGACACCCATGTCCTAAGTCGAGCGTAGCGGCATGAGTCAAAGTCACTTCTTGAGATGAGGCGTCTGTACACATTGCTAGCAGTCACAGGACTTGTCGGAGGACAAGACCAGTATGGTGAGGTGAGGAAGCCTGTGTGGTTTCGGTCAGGGTAGATGGACCTATTGAGTTGATCCTCCCAGCTTTTCCAGCAATTTATAGCTCATAGGACGCAAACATTACTATATATATATAATTTCTATAATGTTTCAAGAGCGGTGCCCGATTGTATCCAAAGTAAGGGGCACGCAAGTCCAGCCAGTTGTCATATTTCTTCATTGATTTCCTTTCGTGCATGGAACTTGCAGTTGCGAAGCCTATGATGATGTGTGGATACTGTAGAATTAACCGAAGGCATGCATTGACAGCTTTCTCAATGACTGAGCACAAGGCTCATACCGTCCACAAGCAACGCAACGCTTCTCATCAGTACGAAGAAGAAAAACAACATTACATAAATAGCATGAAATAGCCAAAGCAGATGGAACTCAGAAAGACATGCTTGGCAACAAAACAGTGTAGGATGGATCGTAATTATATATTCAAACATGTCCAAGGCTCACTGTCCATAATTAGCGTGCAGGGGACTCCATCTAAATCTCAAAGGGGAACGCAATGAGTATGAGTGTACAAATGTTATTTTCTTGAAGGAGACTGATAGGTGATAATGTCCTCAGCTGCTACCGAAGATTCAAGGACTAGCATCAGTGTCAGTGTTACCAACATTAGCATCACTAAAGGACGCGTGGTCCAGGTACGAGTGCCAAGCCGATTGAGCTTGGCAGCGAACCTACGTGGAAAAATATCCAGCTTTGGTCAGCGATACGGGATATCCAATCGCCAACCGTGATTGATTGGTTCGAAAAGGTTCGCACTGTTGTACGTACGCGTTATATATTTTGCGGCCAGAATCAACATGTGGACATGCATGGCAAGAACGAGTGTTGCCAGTGAAAAGACACTGTCCCAGTGAAGTGCGCGTTTTCGGAGTCCCCAGTGCCGGGCCCTCGCCGACCACTCAATCTATATAATTAGTGCTGCAAAGCGCAGAAAGATAGCTATACATGTCAGGCTACTGCAGTACCAGCTGCAGTACCAGCTGCCAAGCAAACCAACCAACAAACCTGTTGTAGCTACTGCCGGGGTGCACAAGCACATGTTTGCCAGGTCGCTGGAGGCAGTTTCTTTCTTAGGGGTACAGATGTTGCTGGGACCTCAGCATGTGCCACAGCGGACTCACAAACTAAACTGGTCAGAACAGATATTGAAATGAGCTAAGCTGGAGAGACACAGCAATGCCTCGTGCAGACACACGAATAGGTGGCGATGTGGGTGTGGGTGGGAGAACGGTAGAGGTGTAGCTTAGTTCGGCCTGCAACCCGCATGCCTGAGCTTGTGATTGCCACCATCCTTGTGGATTGACTAAAGCAGTACATGAGATTCTCGCTGTTCGAACACCACATAAATTAAACATAATCAGCCCAGTTTTGATCTCCAGCATTGGGATCAATTCGGATGTTGTGTATTTGCTTTCACTGCAGGCCTCTATTTTCTTTAGAACTTGGTGGACAAGGTCTACGTGCTGATGCGCGGAAGGAGGAGGGTCACCCGTGTTTGGCATTTCGGTTGCCAACTGGAGCTACTCGTGCACGGAATGACCGGCAAGATTTTTCTCTACACGTCCTGAACTTGCATTCCGCACCTGACGGGAGTAAGCTTAAAACACATCAGGACCTGTGCATCATCCATGGCCCACCAGCACCCAAGAGCGAGGCCACCGAGCATGTCCCAGACGTGTGGCCTCAGATGTGATGCCCTTTTATCAGTTTTTATCGCTTTTTCTTTTAGATCCCGCTCCTACTGAAATTAAGTAAGGGAGAAATTTGCTCCTAGCTACTTAAGCTTCCAATAACTGGACGCAGGATATCTCACGCTTCCTTGAAGAAGCGCTCGCACTACTGATTTGGTTTCTAGATTTGTAGAGAAACTGAACTTGTCCGGGACGTGTGGCCTCAAATGTGCACGGCAGGGCGGTGCTGTGCAGGGCAGTTGCTTGCCTCTTCTGCTTGGTCGCTCTCAACAACGCAGCTTTTGGCAGCGAAGGGCACAGACTTCAATCGCAAGGAAGTGCACGGAAAAAGTAGAACACCCAATGAACAAGAGTTACTTTATTCTGAGACTACTAGTAACAAGGGCATCGCTACTAGTAGCAAGTGCATCGCCATTAGTAACAAGAAGCTACTAGTAACTCTGACATGTTTCGCTTCAGAAGAGCAGATGAAGATGTCGGTCTTTTGCAACGACAACTCTGGAGGGTTGCACGCCTCAAGGTAGCCAAGGTAGGTAACGGAGGTGTTCGGTGATGACTGTTTCACCTCGTGTCTGCCATGAACTCTTTCACCTCTGAGGCGGCTGTTGGTCTCTGATGCCTTCTATGCCCTTTCGCGGCAGCATTTGCAATTCGAGGCTCCGGACTTCCGAGCCATGGACGTGTGTGTGTGTGTGTGTCACACCCTGGTTCTAAGGGTTTCCACCTGTTTTACTTTTCCACCACCACCCAGATTTTCTATCCAAGGCAGGGGGCACAGGCCCATCGTGGATACCTGTGCCAACGAAGCTGTTCCACGATGGGGGATGCGGAGATTGATCACCTCCGTGTACCTGCGACTAACTCTTGCTCAAGCTGTACCAATTCTCTTTGTTTGATTCCATGGTGGTTCATGATACTTCCCACAAACCATTTTCCGTCCGCATTGCATTGCAGCTGCTGACCGTCACCTTCTTTTGAGCGCGTTCGGAAACATTTTTAAACAATACTGTTGAGCCGACTCACTCGCCTTGCCGTTCCCTCACCTTCCTTCCCAACGTGGCAACTGAGTGTAACTGAAAACCCAAGTTCGAAGTGTGACTCGCTCAGTCTTCCCACTCGGGTACTGGGTGTGATCCCCTTCAGTGGGGCGCCGACGCCATGCCGGAATTCACCGTTTTTCCACTTTCATAACTGATTCCACGGTTTCCTTTTTATCCCTGAATTTCCTGATTTTCGAGCCGCCGGGCTATAAACGATGGATTTCCCAGCAGAATCTCTGAACTCCTTCGGTATTCCCACGTCATGATGTCAGGTTTGTGCATTGTGCGTTTTTCCCAACTTTTACAAATTTTAATCCGCAGCCGTTTGATCAGCTTCCACATGCTCTACACCACTCCACAGACAGCAGGAATTGCATTGCATGCCACGAGTTCACCTTACTTCACTGCAGATGCTTTCAGGCTTCACACTTCACCAGTACTTCCACCTTTTCATTTCAGCTGCTGTGCCGCGCCGGCGCCATTTCTCGCAGCCTCTTGGACTGGCTTCTCTACATGCAGTACCCCTGGCCTTATCCACACTGGCCACCACCGTGCACCGCACCCTCGATACCCTCAGTCAACACTCAGCCACCGCCATGGCACCATTCTCCACCAACGGCACCTGTTCCTACCGCTTTGACCCACCCACCACAGCAGGCCATTATTCCTCACTTTCAGACCACTGCACCACAGCCACCACCTCATGCGTGGCCACATCCCATGCCAACACATTCTCCACCAGTACCAACCTTTGTGACTCCCACACACGCCTACCCAGCACCACCTCAACCGCAGGCATTTGAGACTCTGCCCACACAACCTCTATCTCATCCACCCTCTTTTCCACATCCATTACCACATGCACTACCAGCGTCATCCGCTCCTCCAGCGACCCAGGCACCACCACCGCAACCACCGCTCCAACAGGTTCCCGTTCACTGGGACCAATCTCAAAGCGTTTGGCAGCCTTTCTCCCTCTTTCCGTCGGTGGCTCACCCATCACCGCACCAAACATCAGCCCCAACCACCACTGTCTCAGACGATCCACCTCCTCCCGCAGCCACACTTACGCCACCCGCACCTGGAGCTCCCAACGTCCCCACCTCAACCAATCCAACTCAGGGGACCTCTCCACCAGCCACCACCGTTGCAACTGCCACACCAGTCACTCACGCTACCCCACCAACAGCTACCGCTCCACCACTACCACCACTGCCACCACCCCCCACTGAAGCATCTTCAGCACCTACTCCGGGGCCTACGAAACAGTCCCCTGCACAACCTCTCCCAGCAACATCGGCTCCCTCTACAGCCACTGCCCGCACCCATCGCGGCAGAAGCCGCAGCAGACGACGCCGTCGCCACCGCAGCCGTCGCACGCGCGACAAACACCATCGTTCTCCCGCAGCCTCCACTGCCAAAGCATCGTCGGCACGCCGTCGACGTCGCCGTTCACCGTCCACCTCATACACCACCTCTTCCAATAGCCGCTCACGTAGCCGCTCCCATGCGCCCATCACTCTCCGACCCAATCAAGCTCACCAACATGTCCCAGGCAGACTTCCCCAACATTCCAGCACTACGACGCCCCCACCCCCCTTGGAAACTACCTCCACCACATTTCTGGAGCCTTTCGGAGCAAGACAAGATAGTATGGTGGCTCGATTTTCACGCCACACAATTAGCTGCGGAAAACACACCACAACACCTCTACATCGCACAACTTCTCTCCGACATCGGCCTCACCTTCGAAGACTTGGCAGATTTCCGCCAGCTCACCCATGTGAAGTGGAATGACTCCACTAATACCTACGACACCTTTTCTTACCACTGCATCAACATTCCCAGTCTGGTCGACAAGGCCACTCGCCCCATACCGCCGCCTGCCACTCGTGCCACCTCTACTACCCCGGAAACAGTTCACATCAACGCCTGCCACACAGGCCCCCAGGGCAACATCACCGCCATTTTGCAACAGGGCCGCCTCCTACCCAGCATTCTCCACTTTGATGCCAACCCGGGTTTTTTCGCCCAAGCCACACGCATGACTCACCAATCACTCCACGACAACTACGAACAGGCCCGCATCCTTCACAACACATGGAAGCTGGCAAAAAACGTCCATTCTATCATGGTCCATCTCCTTGCCTGGGGCCGTGGAACGAAATTCACCAGCGGCGGCGAAGCCCACGCCATGCAACTTTTACAACAAGGCCACGGCGCTGTTTTCCACTCCAACGCCCGCTGCTGGGTGATTCACCCCCATAACGCCATAGTCAAAGGACTGGCGTGGTCTATCAATGCAACACCTCCAGACCTTTGAGACTCCACCACATACCACCAGCCCACATTCTTCAACCTCACTGCCACGTTCCAACTTTTGAGAGAAGCCTACCTCTACGTTTCACATCAGCTACCAAATCCGGCTCCGCAAAATCTGAGCTTCGATTTTTGCCAGACCAACATGATCCAGCGGTTTCCATCGCCATGCACCAGTCTCACTTTTTCAACTGAACGCCAGTGTTTGATGCTACTTTTTGCTTTCAACCTTTATGCTTGACCGAATTCTTATGCATGATCACTTCGGTTTTCCGACATATCTCAAGTCAGCGGATCACTGCAGTTTTTTGGTGACTTTTGTTTCCTGTTTGCTTTTTGACAAGCGGTGGTCTTCTCACGTTCTAGTACTGTCTTTACATATTCCGCAAAATTCGCACGCACCACCGCAGCCTCCTCCCTCACAAGCATCCTCGACCTCCTCCTCACCACCACCGCTACCACAACCCAAGCGAAAGCGCGAGCCTCCGCCACCCCTCAATGAAGATGCTGATTGGGATGCTTGGGATTGCGATGCCGACGTTCGCCTCGTGGAACTCAAAACCGATCCTCGCCTCCGGCCGAATTGGAATTACGTTGCCCGCCGAGTAGGCTTCTCCATTGAACAGTGCAAAGCGCGTTGGGAAGAACTTCACGAACCGCAACACCACCAACGAGCAGTCAATAAATCCCCCTTGCCCACCCCCACTTCACCAGCCAACACACCACCACCTTCTCCTCTCCCATCATCTCCTTTGGCAGCAGCGCTCCCCCCACCAGCGCCCTCTTCAGCTCCGGATTTCTCCTGCACACCTACCACACCTCCATCCACTGCACCGGCCACCACTGCCGTGCTCGACGCCATGCCACCAACCATCAGTGAGGACAGTCATCCGGAACCAGCAATAGATGCTCTTGTCGCCCCAGCAGCAGCGGAAGAGGCACCAGCTGACATCAGCGAAGACACTCCTGACATCGGTAGCTATTTTGTATAGATCCGTTTCACCCAGCTCTCCACGGCGCACCTCCAGCAAACAACTTCTGTGCAAAGCTGAACCATTCACTACGGACCCATGCAGTTGTGATGCCGACACATTTTTGCATTCAGCTCAATTTCCAGTCAAGTTTTCATCTTGTACAGCTATCTACCGTTTCTTGAAGTTGCTTTGTAATTTCTGAGCTTTGATCGTAGACTTGCTTCATGCCACCGCAGCCATTTTTAACTTTTCGACTGCTTGAAGTGCACCCACGACCTTTGTTCACAATGGCCTCAGCCGACCTCCGACCACCCTCTGCCTTGTGGTCACCCTCTACGGAGCAGTCTTCCGCCACCGAGACATACTTCCTGCCGGACAATCCTCCTCCGCACCTGACACCTTCACTCACACACCAACCGGAGCTTCTTCTTCTGCAAGGCCTTCTCGATTGCCTTGCCAACGTGGTCAACCAGATCCTCAACCACCCCACAATCAACAGTCCTATACCGGACAACACCCTCTTCACCGACACCGATGCTTTCCGGCTGTACTTCCAATACCACGAGAGTGTTACTGAGTTAGCTCGAATCACCCTGCGCCTGAAACGCGCCAGCCGCCTACTTCAATTCGTACCAGGCCCTCCGGGCCACCAAGGCAGCTACCGTGTCAACCCGTCAACACATTTCCCACCTGACACCACTGATTTTCTAGCTGATGAAGTCCACATTTTCCATCCAACTCCTCCTCGACACCACCGTCCTCGACCCAATCGCCATCGTCAGCTGCCGCCTCCTGGCCCGGCAGCCAGAGACCGCTCAAGGTCCCGAGACAGCTCAGCATCCTAGCCGCCCAGTCCAACTACAGTGAGCTGCTTTGTATATACTTTTCACACTCCCACCTGCACCGCAGCTGAAACAAAGCTCTATCCTCAAGAAAGCACGTCCGGGTCAGCCACCCCTCCGGTTCTTCACACCTCAAGATCTTCCCTCCACCACTACCGTACCACCACCAGCTCTTGCTCCCTCTCTCCTCCACCCACAGCCAGCCACGATCCATCCGCCTCCTCTGCCTACGCACCGACAAACCCAGGTGCGGATTCCGAAACCGCACCACAACGGCCACATTTTGCCCTTTCACTTTTCGAACAACATCCTCCGTTACTTGGACTCCAATATGGACCGCTCCACCTCCATTTCAGCCACACCACCGTGTCCAGCACCTCCTCCAGCTTTCCCCACACACGGCATTCCACCACCACCACAGCCCGCTCCACCTGCTCTATTTCCAC